TTCCTTTCCATTATCCTGGTTCCTGTAGTTATGTCTGGATACATACTCACCAGGATTTGGTGCTAGAATCCACATATGAGAGAACATAAGGTCGATTTTTTTTTTCCTGAGTCTGTGTTACTTCACTTAGTATAACAGTTTCTAGTTACATCCATTTACCTGTAAATTTCATGATTTCATCTTTCTTTAATGCTGAGTAAAACTCCATTGTATAAATGAACCGCATTTTCATTATCTACTCGTCAATTGAGGGACAATTAAGTTCCTGCCGTATCTTAGCTATTGTGAAAAGAGCAGCAACAAACACAGATGTACAAGTGTCTCTGCTATAAGATGAGTTCTTTGGGTATATGCCAAGGAGTGGTAGAACTGGGTCAAATTGTATGTTCATTTGTAGATTTTTAAGAGTTCTCCACACTGCTTTCCACAGGGGTTGAACAAGTTTGCAACCCCACCAGCAGTGGATGAGTGTTCCCCTTTCCCACATCCTCTCCAACATTTGGTATCATTTGTTCTCTTGATCTTAGCCAGTCTGACTGGGGTAAGATGAAACCTTAAATTGCTTTTAATTTGCATTTCCCTTATTACTGGTGATATTGAACATCTTTTAAGATGGTTCATAGACATCTTTACTTCTTATTTTGAGGAAGCTCTGTTCGGCTCCTTAGCCCATCTTTTAATTGGATAACTTCTTGTCTTGATTCCCTGTGTTTTGAGTTCGTTATATATTCTGGATATTAAACCTCTGTCGGATGTGTCGCTGGTGAAGATTTTCTCCCATTCTGTGGGTTTTCTGTTCACAGCCCTTGTTGCCTCCTTTGATGTACAGAAGCTTTTTATTTAAATGAGGTCCCATTTGTTGAACCTTGACCTTGTTTTCTGAGAAACTGATGTTTGGTTTAGAAAATCCTTTCTTACGCCTATATCTTTTAGGTTTTTGCCAATGTTTTCTTCTAACAGTTTCTGAGTTTCAGGCTTTACATTGAGGTCTTTGATCCATTTGGAATTGACTTTTGTGCAAGGTGAGAGATAGAGTTTAGTTTCATTCTTCTTCAGGTGGAGATACAGTTTTGCCAGCACCATTTGCTGAACATGCTGTCTTTCCTCCAGTGAATGTTCTTGGCCCCTTTGTCAAATATCAGGTGGCCGAAATTGCATGTACTCATATTTGGGTCTTCAATTTTG